CCACTGAGCTGCCGAAACCAGATAGCCACTTACTTATTCAACTCATATAATACCTATATCACTGAAAGTTTCAATTATCCTATAGACAAAAGGATTAAATTGTGGTAATCCACATGGAATGCGCATATTTATTTATTTTATTTAAACAAATAAATAATGGTACAAGGGGCACCAGATATATATGCGCCGCACAAATCTCATTCGATTTGTGTGAAGGCTGTTATACTGCCCAGGTGCCAAAACTGAAGCAGGTAGTTTTCTTAGGGAGCCACACCCGGAGCCTTTGACCTGAATGTCTGATCCACAAGGCAGTGGAGCATCGTAAGGAGATGCAGTCCCATGATAGCCGGTGACCAACGATCGGTTCATACACCATTTTTTTCCCTCAGGATCCTGGAGCCCATGTGCACGATTGGTTTGGAATCAGGGTTTTCCAACTCCCCTTGGTAAACTTTTCGTGTCCACCGGCCCGGTTAAAATGCTGGACATTTGCTTTTCGTTCTCTCAATTTCGTAAACAACAGTGATGCCACGAGAAGGCAGTGAGTTGGACTTCCCTGACAGTGGTTGTATGCACGTGGCCATTTGAGAGGGAGAGCGGACTCTCTCCACTCTCAGCCGTACCAGGGCATTTGGGAGCGAATGCACATATATCAATGAAAGTTAGTTAAAAATCAGTCACTATATTCAACATTCGTAATAATTCGAATCCTTACTAATCATTTTCATTTACCCACTAAAATCAAATAACTGAATCCATAGTAAATTTATTATGATAACAGAGATAATGTTAATGTATTATATAAGTTGGTTATTTTATCCTATGTTAACCTAGTTTAAAACTATATGATTTTACACATATCGCTTATTGATTATTGAAAACTGATTTATGTATTTCATTATTATTTTTATAATAGTAATATGATATTCAATGTTAAACTGCATGTATAATTTCAATGTTCATTATGAGTAATAATTCATTTTATTATTCACATTCATTCATATTATTTATTTACTGACATAATTAATCTGGATGACTTTTTTTGGTCAGTTCTATGGTTCATATTTTACTGTTAATATATAAAATAGGTAGATATGTTTTATAACTAAATGAAATTATTCACATTTTGTAAATCAGGACTGGTAGGTCCTTGTTCGAATCTCGCAAGGCGGGATCGTAGATGCGCATCGCTGAGGAGTCCCACAATAGGACGAAACGGCCGTCCAGTGCTTCCAAGTTTTCCATGGTGGTCTAGCTTCAATTTACTTATGACTTCAACTATGAAAATACTGAAATATCCACAAAACCCCTTCTGTTTATAATCATAAAACCAACAAATATGGATAAATGTAATAGAGTATAACAATCATAGTTGTTTGTTCTGAATGTGTTTAAATGAAACCGCATTGACGATAATGATAAGAATATAATATTTGGTAGTTCTTCGAATAAGTATGTAAAACATCACCTGATAAAGTGAAAAATCCATTCTGTGTTTCCGATGCTTAGTTACAGATGTTTTTCTAAACATTGATTATACCTGAATATGTTGGAGTGAGTAATGTGGCGCATATGTACCTGGTGCCCTTTTGTACCAATATATATGTGTTTAAATAAATAAATAATGTTAGATAAAAATATTAAACCAGCTTATGTTTCAAGCTGTTAGCAAATGATGTGTTCGTGTTGTGTACCCATTTCCAACAATCAAACACCTCAACATTTAATAAACCAGATGCTCGAAAGGCTAGAGGAGACCACAAAGAAACTACATAACACTCATTGAAGTCATTGACGGTTGGTTTCGGCCGCGTTTAAAGGTTCATACTCCAAGTTTGAAGTTCGCAATATAATTATTATCTATTGTAAAACGAAATGACTGAAAATCTGTTGTCATAGTGTATGTGTATTCATTTCCCTTCCTCCAAATATTGACCATCAATCTTACACACGATTACAGTTCAATAAAATGGAATCGAATTTTTTCTTGATTGCATTACTATTCATAACTATATGGTTAAATCTTAACAAACTATTTTCAATCATTTTAAGTGTTAACTCTATCGGCGGACCATATTAAGCTAAAGTGATTTATTGACTGACTAAAGAACTGTAAACAGCTATCATTTTTCAAATAGGTGTTGTGTTGTGCGGTGTCCGATTGTGATACTGATAAACAAGCTTCCTATACTCAAGCCCAACCGGCTTCTTGAATCACAAGGAATTTGTATAAGCTAAATCGAATCCAGAATATGTACACACATTCATAAACATACATATTTTCCTTAGTTTTTTATTAACTTCAAAATAAAACTTTCAAACTAAAATTAAAAGCTGAAGAGGTTAGTTTTCTATTGTTAATGGTTGATCATGTTTATCTGTTCTCTCCCTATTTTACATCAATATTTATAGTAAATAGATTGTCATTCAATGATATTATTCTTTTTTTTCTTCATCTTTTTGATAAACTAATCATCCGAAAGAAATCAATGTCTTTATTTTTGGCCTTTAACCCTTCATTTTAATGATTATCATGTTTACATCACTTTGTATGTAATGATTAATTATGTATTATTTTCTTTGTATATCATTTACATTAGTAATTATATGTACATTACACACACACACACATACACATAATGTACAATTTTATGTGAATACTACACATTCGCTATTTTTGTTGTTTTATTATTAAACGTTTACTACTGATATTCAATCGATTTATGTTTTAAAGCATTCGGCCAAAATTTTTTGTTATCATTTCAAGAGATAATACTTCATATTTTTTCAGTATGTAAATATGTGGGCTGGATGTGTGTTTGTGTGTGTGTGAGTGAGTGAGAGTGAAATAGTAAATGCATGCGTGAAATATTTTCATGTTTTATTACATGTAGCAGCATATCGCATAACAATTATTACAGTCTATTGATGGTCTCTCTCTCTCCATATATATTCTAAACTTTCGTAATGCGATCATAGTAATTACACAGTATACATTAAACTATTAATTTTCTATTTTATCTAATCTATGTATTACCAATCGACTACTTATTGATTCAGAAAGTAAACAATATGATTTTCAGAAGGGGTTTGGTGGAGATTTTAGTAATTTTATAGAGTTGAGATCATGAGTCAATTGAAGCTCGACCATCATCGAAAACCTGGAAGGAGGAGTCCTATAATAGGACGAAACGGCCGTCCAGTGCTTCCAGGTTTTCCATAGTGGTCGGGCTTCAATTGATTCATAATCTCAACTCTATAAAATTACTGAAATCTCCACCAAACCCCTTCTGATAATGATCATGTGCTCACTAGTGACTGGCTCCATCAGGTATTTCCAAGAGTTCTAGTGAGAGGCAGTAACCAGTGAAGTTCAACCAGGTCTGTTGGGAGATATCAACTCACTGATGACATTGGTGAATGGTTGCTCAATTTCGTGGATCGATTGAAGTTAAACATTAACACCGTTGGATACCGGTTCAGTGGTCTATCGATTAAGTGCTTTGGTGCGAGACTGGTAGATCCTGGGTTCGAATCTCACGAGTGCGGGATCGTTGATGCACACTGCTTAGGAGTTCCATAATAGAACGAAACGGCCGTCCAGTGCTTCCAGGTTTTTGATGGTGGTCTAGCTTCAATTGACTCATGATATCAACTCTATAAAATATGGTTTTCGTTATAATTGTAATGAATATCAAAATTTACATTTTTATTATCTGTAAAAGTTTGTTATAATGAATGCAAGTGTTAGTAACTGGAACGAATAAAAATTCACTATAGAAATTAAAGAATATTAAAGTATTTTTTAGATGAATGATTTATATGCAGATGTATTCAAATCTGGTGAATACTATTAACACGATCGATTGTAAGTAACGTGCAGTGGAAAGTGATGTCTAAACTATCACAGTCGACCGACGAAAAGTTTCAGTTCTTCAAAAAGCACAGCTTAGGCAGAACAATTCGAGACCAGTAGAGAAGACAGCTTCGAAATAAATTGATTACAGAACATACCGTAAGATACAAATGGATTATCGAAGGCTATATGTACATGTCAGATAAACACTGTAATTTCACGAAAATTAACACTTCATTCTCTTTGATATCTTGTTGTACAACAGTAGTGGTGGAGTGAAATAGGTTTTACAGATGATCCGTGAGATCGGATAATTGTTACGAAATGACTATTATTTGGAATGTAAAACAGTGGATTTGGACTTGAAGGTATTGTATTCACCATGAAATGAGACGGCTTTCCAATGTTTCTTGCCTTTTTTTACTGATTCTTCGGATGATTGATAACACTCTGTGACAAATAACAGTTGGCTTTACAAACTCTCAATTAAATACTTTTTCCAAGGTTTATTTTATAGAATAGGTGAGATTTGTCTAACAGTTGGAATCCAGGACGCATATTTCGTCCTATTTACGACACATCAGCTGAATTTACCTGCATCCCAGATTTAATATTTACACCGAGATTCGAACCCAGTACCACTCACTTCAAAGACTTAACCGTATTATCCGCTTAGCTACCAAGTCCGGATAGGCATTAGCTTGTACAACGAGTATACATTTCAATTCAAATCACAATCGTTTAAATTATCTTGTTGATGAAATTTTTCAGTCTTTTGTTTGTTTTTGTTTTATTCTACACATAATCCTAGTTTGACAATATCGATATAAACTATATTTTCATATAGTTGTACTGTTGTTTACATAACAAAAGATAATATAATGCATATAATAAACATTGATACGAAATCGAACAATCATATCAGCTAAACAACTTTGTATATTTATTTGATCGTAAAGAAGAAGAGGGTTTCATTTCTTCAGGATGGTTTATTATTATTATTATTGAAGTTTTTCTGATTTTGAGTTTGACCGACTTTATTTTTTGATATTATGACCTAATAATATTTTCGTTTATTTTTTAAACTTATCTGTATAAACAACTTAAGCATTTTTCCGTATTCTGTTTCTTGTATTCATTTTAGGCAGAAGAGATATTCCGTAAAATAATTTCTATTCTAGGTTTGCCAAACAATTCACAAAATTTAGCATCAACAACTAGTGGAACAAACAATGATGATAGTACATCTCAGACTAGTAGATCAACTATGTATACTACAATTGATGCGGTTTGGGATGGTCAATTTCCACCTAAAGCACCTCAACCAGAAGATATTATTGTGGTAGATGAATCGGTAAATCCACCACCAGTAGTGACAATAGAAGTTCCCCAAGAAGATCAGAATTGTAGGTGACATTAATTATCTTGATATTTTTGTCAATTATTATTCCACAAACTGTTTGGAAATATCGAAAGGATGATATTTATGTTGAGTGATGGCTTAATCGTTAAGGTGTTGAACTTTCAGTCACTAAGTCCTAAATTTCAACCCTGTCCCATCTACTTCGGTTTAAGCAACCGGATAGTATCATTACCCCTTACACTTGGAATATAGCTTATATCCAGGTATTCGGTGAATGAGTTATTTAAAAAAATGTATGTTTATATACTACTGTATTTTTGATGGTTAAGTGGATTTTTTTCATGTATTTTATGACTCTGTTTACAGTTAGGTGAGGTGATACCTTCGTTTCGCAACAACAACTAAGTGACATTGAAATTGGTGTAATTATTCATTTGGTTTTATCGATGATATATTATGTAATGCATGTATTTATTCTTATAAATCCTTATGAAATAATCTCCTACCTGGATACCCTTTGATTCACTTTGGATACATAAGTCACATAGTTTGTGTTAGGTAAATACGTCGAAATTCCAAGTTCTGTTATGATGTTTGTGGTGGATATTTTGCCACCTTAATAAAGGGTTATGTTAAGTCGGTTTCCAAAGAACTCCAACAGAGCCTCCAGAGGCTCAAAAAGAGCTCCAACCAATCAGAGCACGACAGAACATTCTGGAGTTCCAACGTGGCATGCTACCATTGGTCAGTAGCAATATATGTCGTTTATTGGATTGGCTGAATTAGGATGTTGATTTAACTTAAGCAAACATCTATAAATACTTACGATTTTTCTGTACAAAGATGAACCTTGTAGTAAAGTGATTCTCTGATACTCGTGTCTTCTCTCTGGTCTTTCAAGTCGCTGAGTAGTGCTAGCCTGGGGTTATCCGAATAGCTTAGGATCTGAATATAGCGTTCAACCCACAAGACATATCAGGTTAGCTTTTTAAAATTGATGTATGTCAGTACATATTATGACATAAAAAAACTGAGTATCAACTACTTTAACATAAGTTAGGAATTTCATCTACCCATGAAGTGATCATTTGACCCGAGCCGTATGCTGTTAACTGACTGATTAACTGGCTATCCTACCCATATATTCTCACTTACAGCATCTGTCGTGTCTTTTATTATTTGCTTTTCAACTGTTTTTCCCTTATACCTTCAAAAAGAACAGATTCTAGAATTGTATTGGGGCCAGTGTGATCGGACCGTTACTAAAGGAGCAATAGTATTGTCTAGTCTGATTATTGATTAGTTCGCTCTATGCCTGTATGACCGACGACCTTTTGTTTCGCCAATGAACAACGGGTGAAACCTTAACACCTATTGGTCCTCGAGCTACGTCTAACCCTGTCTTTATTCAGAAGACAAGATTAGAAATTAGATAAGATCCGTGTTGTGTAGCTATCCAGTTATATGACTCAATTCGTGCAGTAATATAGAGTTACATTTTGACCTGATCACCGACCAACATAAATAGAAAGTTATAGTACACTCTAACTACATCATAAGTGCAAAAGAAACTAGGCGGTTGATCCATAATCAGTGAATAGTAACTTTAAGAAATGTCAAACATATATCGATAGTTTATATGCGGAAAAAAGACTACAATTAAGATAACATAAAGATTCAATAATCTAAATGTCTAATGTTTATACAATAAAAACCGAAAGTCCTATGTTAGATTCCCGTGTTCATGGTGGTGGATGAGCACTTCTGAGGGGTCCCGTACTACGACAAAAGCCCCGAACACTTTCAGGTTTTCAATAGTGATGTAGCTAAAATCAGTTCATGATCTCAATTGTAAAAATACTACAATCTTTACCAATCCTCCATACTAAAAATTGTTTTTTCCTGGGTAGCGTTTTTTTAGCGGGTTAGCTTTCTACGGGATGTGTTCGCTAACCCCATACCCAACCCTCCTCCTATATCTGGGCTTGGGACCGGCAGTAGCCCCCGGAAAAGCTACAGGCGGAGTTCCATACTAAAAATATTAATGATAATTTTTGACAAGGTAATTCTTCAAGTTACAGCTTTCTCAATTTTCATCCGATTCAACAGCTTCCTGTGATGTGCATTCAATGGAAAATTACCACTTAAACCAATGTGCATCATATGTATTGATAAGCAGTAAGGAACTTGATATACATGTTCAATATAAATCAAACTTATATAATAATGCGATTTGATTTCAGTCCTTTTATTCGATTCACATGAATTAATATATCATTTCGTATTATTTACTTCCCTTCATTCAGAACTTACTCCTACTTTTTCCGACCTGAAATCGAACCAAACATCAATTAAGGAAGAAGAAATACAAGGAAAATTCATATCCATTTGATGGAAGAAAATCTTAAAAATTTCGTTCATAACTGTGACAAATAAGCGAATAACGGCACTAATTACAATAATTTCTCTCTGTGTGTATAATGTCTTGACTTTTCTGTTACCCTTTAACTTTCTGGTGTCTTCCTGTCGTCTATGGGTTGTTGATTTCTGTTTTATTTTGAAAAAAAAACTTAGCCACATTTTCACTTCTGAGTTAAGAGAAGTGAAGAATATCAACAAAACAGTGGGAAAATCACTTTTTATTTATTTGTTTGTTTTTCTCTTCTTTCCTGTTTACGTCACATCTTTTTTTGTAAGGGAGGTGGGGACGAACACTTTCTCATTGTTAATGAAATGAATGATATGATCTAACTAAATAGTTTATTTTGTGTTGTTTCTCGAAGAAAGATTCTATTTTCAAGGTTGATATTTGCATTTTGTTCTGTTTTCATTTATTTTTATTGATGAATATGTATGCCGATGGCAATGTTCATGTGTAAAATGTTGTCGGGTGTTTTCTCGTACATAAAGCTACTTTGTTAATGTCAACGATCGACAAGTCACTAAATGCGTATGGAAGTAGCTAGTTATTTTAAACATAGCGGTCCTTATTTAAAGAGAGAAGGAATCGGGCTCTTTTTTTTAAAAAAAGAAAAAAAAGTATTCATCATGAGACGATAAATTGTAGGTTTTCCGTTTAAGTTTTAAACTACTCAGCAGTGATCACTCACAACACAATAAGAAATCGAAACTAGGACTTTAATTTTTTTGCAACGAACATAATATTTTTGGAACTTAGAGTTGAAATAAGTCTATCCGTGATTAAAAAAGAGTTTATTCAGACCGTATGAATTACCTAAATAAATAATAGTATTGTACTCACTAGTAACTAACACCGAGATGGATTCCTTTGATTTTATTGAGAAGTTTTGACTGATGGAGTTCAGCCTTGTCACAATGATAAGAGTTATTAAATGATCGTCCAAAGTTCTAAATACTAACCATTCAACTCTAATTCAGGGATTCAAATGTATTGTGCTTTCTATGGCGAACTTAAAAGATCTTGAACTGATCATATGTGGAGCATTATTAACGAGTTTAAAATTCAGTCAGTCAGTCACAACGTAGAACTTCGTACGTACGTACATCAGTTCGAGTTGCCATACCACATTAGCACAGAGATGCAGTTGTCGATTCAATTTCCATAGTGGTAGAAGTAGTAGGAGTATAATCAGAAATCCAAAAGATTAGGGTTTGAAGAAATTATTGAAGGAGTATAGTACAGTGGAATAAATTTGGAAAGAGAAAAAGATAAAGACATGAGGAATTCAGAAGATTAGAATTTGATAGAACACAAAGAGTGGATGCATCTTCGCCATTGCAAACGATTTTGAGCCATGTCATTCAAGGTCTCTAACCATCGGTTGCTGTCATCTCGCGAATCCCAACCAGGTAGTCTACACTTACCAACATGGCCCAGTCCACTTGTCAGTGACTTCATTGATTTGTGACACGTTTTGGTCTGGCCACCCCTAGCTTTCTTCCAACCTACTCCTACACCATGAAACATTGCACGTCGGGGCAGTCGGTGGTCGGGCATACGTAACACATGTCCCAGCCATCTCAACTGATGAAGTTTCACTACTTCATCAATCGATTTGCCATCCCTACCTAGTACTCGTTTCCTAACAACTGCATTACTTACCCGGTGGTCCCAGGATATACGAGCAATGCTTCGAAGACACCTATGATCGAACACTAGTAGCCTACGAATGTCCTCTACTCTTATTGGCCATGTTTCACTGCCATAAAGTAGGACGGAGCGAACTGCTGCACAGTAAACCCGTCCTTTGGTTGCTAGACGGATATCTCGCCTACTCCATAAATGACGCAAGTTGGCGAAAGCTAGACGAGCCTTCTGTATCCGTGCTGAGATTTCGTCACATACCAGACCACAAGGGCTGATGAGACTCCCAAGATAAGTAAAGTGGTCTACACGCTCAACTACTTCACTCCCTATTATTAGTTTGGGTGTCGCTGCAACCCAATCCTGAAATAACATTTTGCACTTCGAGGGAGAGAATCGCATCCCGAACATGCCTGCATAGTTGCTTATAGTGGTCAGAAGACTCTGCATGTTGTCAGCATCTTCACCGAGTAAAACTATGTCGTCGGCGTATTCTAAGTCAACAAGTGAGCCTCCTGGTAAAAGTTCAACTCCTGGAGGTTTAGCTGATGAAAGTGCTATCTCTAAAAGTATGTCAATGACAAAGTTAAACAAGAATGGGGAGAGTGGACAGCCCTGACGAACGCCACTTGAGGTAATCAGTTCTGATGACAGTTCGCCATAGGCTCTAACTCGACCAGTTGTGTTCGAGTCGAGAGCCTTTATGAGGTTAATGTACTTCTTTGGTACTCCTTTCACTGACAAACATTGCCATAGAACCTCACGATCAACGAAGTCAAATGCCGCCTTAAGGTAAAGAAATACTACGATTATGGGACGTCTGAATTTGTGTCTAAGTTCTAGGACCTGACGTAGAGTGAATATCTGGTCTATGCAACCACGTCCAGGTCGAAAACCAGCTTGGTTTTCTCTAGTCTGCTCTTCACGAGCTTTGGTTAGGCGACCTAGTATTATTGAAGCTAATATTTTAGACACTATATTAGTCAAACTGATCCCTCTGTGATTGTCACAAGAGGACTTTTGTCCTTTCTTATAGACTGGCACAATCAGTGATTGGGACCAGTCAGATGGGATTACGTCCAGTTCCCAGATTCTACCTAAGACCTCAGTCAATCTCACTGCTAGTACTGGACCACCATCCTTAAAAATCTCAGGGGTCAACCTGTCAGGGCCTGCTGCTCTCCCTCGCTTCAGATTTCCTATAGCTTTTTCAACCTCACAGAGGGTTGGAGGACTTACATCAATTTGCCATTCAGGACGACTGGGGATCGTGGGTAATTGAAGTGTGGCTGAAGGCCAGTTGAACTGATCCCTAAAGTGTTCTGCCCATCGATCCAATCTCCTGGATTGAGAATGAATGATATGCCCATCTTCATCTGAGATGGTTTCACTGATATTCGGGTTCCTAATACCGGTTTCTTTAACGAGTCTGAATAGCTGCCTACTGTTACCTATTGCCGCTGCCTTTTCCATCTCTCTTGCTTTCGCTAACCACCACTGTTCACGATCATTGCGTAGGCTTCTTGTTAGCCTGCGCTTAAGTTGACTCCGCTCTTCGTTATGCTCAGAGCCAGGTGGGATGAGTTTACGAGCATCTATCAGTGCGGTAGATGCTGCCGAGATCCATTGTTTCTCCCTAACGTTATGGTTTACCTTACTAACGGATATCACTGCTGTTTCCACAGCTTTTCGGATGTCATTCCACGCTGCCTCGGGGTGGACACAACTTACATGGCTGCCTAACTGTTTTCCTAGTTGTTCCTGAAATATATTCTTAGCTTGCCTATCATTAAGTAGAACCCTTAGAGGCTTCCCTGCAGTGTCTTTCCTACGTCCAGTAAGACGCAGACAGATACGTGCTCGCACTAGAGCATGATCTGAATCTAAACATGTGCCCCAGAATGAGCGACAGTCTTCTATCGAGCCCCTCCATCGGTGGCTGATAGCGATGTGATCTAATTAGGTCCAACGTTGGGACGAATTCGGGGGTCGCCATGTCAAAAGATGTTTTTCCTTATGCTTAAAGTTAGTATTTGCAAGAAATAGGCGGTTATCTGAGCATAGCTGCAACAGACGGTCGCCATTATCTGTTCTTTTCGCCATGACACCATAAGATCCACCCAGGTGTCTTTCCCTTTCACTTAGTTTACCTACTTGAGCATTAAAGTCACCAGCCACTATTACTACATCAGAACGCCTAGCTTCTCGGAGAAGGTCAGAAAGTTTCCTGTAGAACTCATCTTTTATATCGTCTGAGCTGCAGTCAGTGGGAGAGTAGGCAGAGACGACGAAGAGGCAACGACGAGTTTCCCTATCTTTCCGGGTCCTTATTGATCCGTTTAGTCGGACAGCGCATAGACGACTGTCTACTGGGATCCAGTCTAAAAGAGCTAGTTCTGCCCTAGGACTTAATGCTATACCTACTCCAGCGAGGCCACGGGAAGCAGCATCAGGGCTTCCAGATACACGAAGCGTGTATCGAGATGAAACTTTATTTTGATTAGGTGCGGTCAAATGAATGACACTACTCGGATCTTGTATGCGCGTTTCGGAGACGCAGCACACATCGATGGTGTAAGATTCTAGAGTCCTAGCTAAGGAAGCCTGTTGTCCTATTTGGCACAATGTTCGGACATTAAAAGTTTGTATATGTAGTTTAGAGCGTGGTTTCAGGAGACCAGGAATAACGTTCTGTGTACTCGAATCGTTTGCCCTAGCGGTGCGAGGCGATGAAAGGACGTGAGAAAGGTTAGTCGTGGAGATAACAGAGTTATTAGGTGTAGGAAGGATTTGAAAGCGACCAACTTGGTCTTGTGTGCAGTTAAGGGTATGAGGGCTATTATCACTTCCCGGCTGCCCACACCGTGGAAGGGTTCTTCTAGAGATACCTGAAAAAGAAGTTGGATTAGTGTTGGTCTTAACGACCTGGGAGCGTGACCGCAGTGCCCAAGGGACATCTGCTTGAGGCCGGTCACGCACGGCCTTTTTGTGGAGGATTTTTGATGTGTTAGCTCCGTCCTTCAAAAGTCCTTACCGCCGGAGACGGAAATCCGTGGGATAAGGCGAGGTGTGCATTTTTAGGGCCGACCTTTTCTAACCCCACCCCTCCTTGTGGGAAGGCAGCATCGCTGTCATGCTGGTTGTCTGAAGGAAACACCTTACTGCTTTCACACCTCTGTACAGTCAGCAGTACGACTTCGCCTTCGGACCTTGGGTTTGCTGCTTTTAGTCTCACCGCTCTTCAACCGACCTGTCTGGCATGGTAGG